TAAAAGACTCCTAATTTACTTGCATTTAACTTTTCATATGAAAGATCACTTCTTTCTAAAATTTTTGCTACTTTATGATCATTCACTTCTAAAGGAAGCTCAGAGTCCCAGCTCTTTGTAAAATTATTTTCTTCTATCAAGAAGTCTAGTGTCTTTGCTTGTTGTAAGATCTGCAAGCCTAGATTCTTTAATTTAGTCTCATGTTTCTCTAAAAGTGCTTGGTTTATCAGAATACATTTGGCCACACCTATTTTTAGTTGTTCTTGCTTTAGTCTCATTAGCATGGATTTTTTCACAAGCCCTTCTGCATTTATTCTTACTAGTAGTTCTGAGAAGTGATATTCTATATATCTATTCCACAAGCTTTTGAAATTTACTATTTCTGAGGGTATTGACAACTTCCATTGGTTAAGCATACTATAGGCTAGTGTGTTCCATTATATTGGGCTCTAGTTAGACAGGAGATCATAAGTCTATACTCTAAAATTGGCACAAGCACAACATTCTTTACATATATAATCTGACTAAGAGACATTCTTTTAAATTTAAGAAAACATGTTATTTTGGCCACCTCTTTTCTTGCTTTGTGGATGTCTGATCTTTTTTTGATTTTTTGTTAATATTCAAACTTCTAAGAAACAAGTAGACTTTTTTGGGTTCTTTGCAAGAATTTTTACTTTTAGGTTGCTTGCCCAAATATAAGGATCCTCGGTACCTTTTCATTTACTCAGTTTTATAACTACGAGCTCTGTTTTGTTTGGATTTATCTTAATATCATTCAACTTGTAAAACTCATTTGATATATCAATTGTTTTTTGCATATTTTCTTGACTACTCATTACCCATGTTGTGTCGTCTGCATATGCTAAAACTCCCACCTGTAGCTTTTCTATATCAGACTAATCATTTATTTTTGGATTGCTGCTTTGCATCTCATACCTTAATTTTGCTTCTTGTACTTTGCAAAGAAGAGGGTTATAGAAGATTCTTCATATCAGAGGAGATAGCACTTTTCTTTGATCAATTCCGTCTCCTACTTTGGCAGCCTCGGTATTTCCGAACTCTGTTATAAAACTGAGCTTTCTTTTATCATAAAGGTTTGTAATAAAATTTGCTAATTTAGATAAAAATTTGAGTCTTTTTAATGCTTTTTTAAATGCTATCATACTAACTGAATCAAACACTTTTTTCATGTCTTGAAAGGTGATCCAGAGTTCTTTTTTTTTTTCTACTGTCTCTTTTATTATATTGTTCATAATGTGAATAGGTGCAGATATACTTTCTTCTGAGAGCCCTGCAAAGTTTGCATTTTTTAGCACCTTATTGCGACTTAATACCTTGTCAAGCCTCACTTGTATTATTCTCATTATCACTTTTCTACATGTTTCTAGTAAGACTATTGGCCTTGTATAGCTCAGATTGTATTCCCAAAAGCTTCCTTTTGAGATTAAATATACCTAACTTAATTTCTATTTTTCTGGAATATTTCTATCTTCCAAAACACAATTTGTGAAGCTAATTATTCTTTTAGTTATCTTTGTGGAGAGCTTTTTAAGTAGTATGTAACCGATACCTAAGATGCCTGGAGCTATGCCATTTTGCATTTTGCCTAGAGCTTGTGTCCATTCTTCTTTGCTGATTGGGCTTATTACTTTTTCATATATAAATGAGTCTATGTTACTTTTTGGCATATATTTGTTTTTCCATTCCTGGCTTATCTCTTCAAACTTTTGGTTTCTTTTTCGAAATTGTTTTTGGAAGTGTGAGGTGACTTGTTGCTTCAACTCAGTCTCTTTATTAATGAGTTCTAAATTCTAGTAGTCAGATTGTTCTCCAACAAGGACCCTGTCTAGTATTACTTTGTTGTATACTCTATTTAGCAAACTTTGTAGCATTCTTTTTTTATCATTTTTCATCATATTAATTCTTTGTTCTATTTTATTTCTTATTTCTTTTTCTTTTCTTCTGCGTTCTTCTTCTTCTGCTTTTTTCCTCAAAATCTTTCCCCAATTTCCGAGTTCGTTTATTTTTATCTAGCTCCAATATTCTAGCATTTGTGGGATTTGCATTTGATATGTTTGGTTTATATTTTCAATTTGTGTGTCAAAATTTTTTCTGTCGGCACTACTTTTTTTTTTGTAAATAGTATAAGAATTTGACCTCTTTGTAAATATTAGAGCTAGGGACTGATATTTTCTCTTAGATCTTGGTTTTTTGAATATTAACTGATGGTATGTGTTTCATTGCTACTTTTATGATTGCATTACTTAAAATGTTTCATTCTATATTAATGTCTTTGTTGCAGTAATATATAGGCTCGTGGGGTCCTTTGTGCACTTTTTCCCTTATTAGATTTTCAACGCACTCGCTATACAGATTCCAGTTCTCTTTTGTGGCTTTGTGGTAAAGAAAAACTCTTCTTGTTTGCTTTTCTTTGCCTCTTCTGTTTTTAAATTTGCCGTAATTTAATAGTTAAAAATAGTAATAATTGTTAAATTTTTTTTAATGTTTATAATATTTTTATAAAAATTATCTAATTTTATTTATATTGAATAGGTTCACAGACAGGCTGTTGTTTCAAATTTATTAAGAGGCAATTTAAAAAATACTAAAACCATAATTTCTTTTAAATTTACCAATTTAATTTAAATATTTGGTTTAAATAATATTCAAAATTTATTAATAACAAATTAAATGATTGTAGACCAGATTCTAATATACATTTTGGGCTTAAATATTTATTATATTATTTAGATAAATATTTTAGTTTAACAAATATAGATAGTTATATAATTAAAATATATAGCTTTATAACTTTAGAAAATAGATCTATAATTAGAGCAACAGAAGATTTTTATAGCAAAGTCTGGTATAGTAATGTAGCAGTTGCTATGAATTTTGAAAAACAATTAGAATATTTGATAGATAAAGGAATTTGCTATAGACAGGTATTTGTTGTATTTTTATTTTTTTAAAAATTTTTAAAATATTAAACATTGAATTTTTAATTTTAGATATATTTATTACTCAAAATTGAAAATATCAAAGAAGATGTATATAATCTTGTATTTATCCAGTAGTATAATTTTATATCTAAAAAGGAGCCATATTATTGTGAATATTCTAGACTTAAATCAACTCAATTAAATAATATTGTAGATATTAAAGCAATTAAGAATCATGTTTATATAATTCCATGCTTTGATAAATCAAATAATTATTTAATTAATAAGTATATGTTTTAAAAATAAATCAGATTACTATTATTTAAATAAATTCACAAATCTTTAATAAAATTTGATCAATAATCAAGCTTTGATAAATTAATGATTATGTAGTAATTAAAATACTACATAATTTAATAATTTTAAAATATTTTAAAATATTTTTAAACAGTTAATATAAAATGCACCTATGGTGTTCAACACTATATATAATTGTTTTTAGTAAAATTTAGGGTTAGGGTTAGAAATTAGAGAATTATTGTTTTTTTTATATAATATATATAGAGCTACTATAAGGGCCCAATAGGGCCTGATCTCAGTTCTTGTGAGGATTTTGGGGTCCTGAACATTTTTACTTAGAGTACCTGATCCTGTTTACTTAGTACAATTTTGAGAAATAGGGACCTATGGTGTTGAACACCATAGGTGCATTTTAGTAGACTCATTTTTAAATATTAAGAATACTAAAATATAAATAGCTAAAACTTTATATAAATTTAAATACTTTTATAGTTTCAAATAATAAATGAAAAATACATATGTGATTTATATTATTTTTAAATATTTTGAATAATATTTGCTTAATTCACAAATTTTTGAATAAATTTAAATTTTCAATTAACCTTATATTTAGTTCAATTATTTAACTTATTAGAATATATAGTAAAATGATTTTTATAACTTATAGATTTTATCTTTAAATATCAAACAATTTTATCAAAATAAACATTATAAATGCAATAGTAATCGAACTTAATTCAAACTTTTCAAATATATTTGAAACTTTTAAATTATGATAAATTAATGATATTAAAACAATATAATAATATATTTAATAAATATAATAATATAATAAAAATATATAAATATAAATAAATAAATAATATATATTTATAAATAATAAAAAATAATACAAAATTAAAAATATATAAAAAAATATAAAAATAAATAAAATCAAACAAAAAAAAGACATAAAAACATATAGGAAAAAAAAAATGGTTGAAAGAGGTATAATTATTATGTAAAAAAAAATTTAATTTATTCTTGTTCTTCTTAATACTCAGCATTTTTAAGTAGAGAATTTTAAGGGTTTGATGATCCAGAATCATGTGATGGTGATAGTTGATGGGTTGTAGAAGATAGTAGTATAAAGTAAAAGTATATATGATTTGAAAATATGCAAATATGCTTGAGAGCTATGTACAAAAACAGGGCTTATAGAGATTCTTGCGAATATTCTTGAAGTTTTGGTGATTTTGCCTTTTTTTAAAAATCTTGTATTATATAAAGAAGATTTTGCTCTAGTTTACTTTCTGCCTCGAGTTTGTGATATAGTTTCAACTTCTTTATCTTCTATTTCTGACAAGTCACCAGAGGTGAAAGGAATTTCTTGTACTAATTTATCATTAGATTTGTAAATTGCACATATATTTGAAATATTTAAAATTAATTATTTTAGTCTAAATATTAAATATTATATTTTATAGAGCAATTTATTTATCACATGATGCGATTATTATATATCGCCTTAATATAAATTACTAAATCACGTGATGTAGATCGTTATGTGCAATTAATGTTTATTTGAACGATTTTACTAATATTGCTAACTTGTTTTAAAGAATTTTATTGTTTGTAAAATATCTATGTACAATACAGCATTACAAGTTAAACAGTAGCTAAACTCAATTAATTGTACTATTGTTACAGCATATAAACTAAAGCTCTATTTGCTAACAATACTAAATAGTTTAGCTTATAATCGCAATCCAATACTTAATTATTCTCTTTATTAGGGCATCTAGGAGCATAATGACCTGTTTTGTAATACAATCTATATTTACGTCTATTTGCACTATTTTCGCTATCAACATCATCAACAGACACCTTTTGTTTCTTACTGTTACTTGCTTAGTATTCTTTATTAAAAGCTTTCAATCGTTGATTTGGAGGTCTACTTGTGCAATTGGGTCTTCAATGTCATCAACATTATAAATTCGCCCATCAGGTAACTTGATACTAGATAAAACCTGATTATCTTCAATATGAACTGGTTAAGCTTGAGTATTCCGCATTGCTTCTTTTACAGCAATATAAGATAAGATAAGTACATCTAAATTATCTTGATCTTTGTCTTCTAATGAATAGTTTAGAGCCTTTTTAAAATGACCCATAATGCGACCATAATCTATTTTTTTTTGCAAACGATTCTGAACTTGAACTTCTTGAACATTATGATAATGTCTAGGAATAAAACTTTGCCCATTATTTTCACCTTGACGTTTCTGAGACAATGTGCCAATAAATAGTTCATTATAGATAGAATCAACATTTTTCCAAGCATTATCATGTAGCCATCTTGTTGGCATTAACATAATATGAAATAAGGCATATGGATTCTCAACCATTAATTTAAAGTAATGCCGGCAAATAATTTTATGTGAAACTAATAGTAAACATGTATACAAATATGTACCATCATTAAGCATAATAATATGCTGATACGAATTTGGTGTTATATATGGAATAACGCGCCAAACTTCTTTAATTGACTTTCTTGAAACTAAGCTTAAAAGTGCCTTTAGATAAGTCTGTTGAATATCATAATAATCCTCAATACTTTCTAACATTTCATTTTGATTATCCTGATTTCGAATATATTAAGTGTTTGTATAGTAATCAAATACATTCAAGCTATAGCAAAAAAAAAAAAAAAAAACTTACTATTTGATCATCATTTAATTCATTATATTTATTATATTCGTTTGGGTCTTGGTTTTCGAATTCAAAAGCATGACTAATATCCAATTTTTCGCATTTATAAAATACCGATTCACACATTTGCTTTTGAATTTCCTCAATTATTCGTAATGTGAAGTATTTTTGAATTGTACTACTAATTTTACTGAAGAACCTCTCTACAATAAACAATTGATGTTGATTTATTGATTTGTGCTTCCATTCAATAAAGCTTTTATTTAATAATTCTCTTTGCATATGAAGTTCTAAAGCTTCAACCACATCATACATACTAGAACTAGAAGCAACTGACTTATGAATAATGGCATTTATTGACTCAACATGCTGGGTAGATTGCATTCCAGCTGTAAATATTCGATTAATAAATGGGCTTGCTCAAGATTCTCGAGTTGAATAAATTTGATTTAAATATTTGCTAGCACCAGGATACTTCTCTAATAAAGATCTAAATCGATGCTCAAAAACTTCAATACACAATGAATTTCGTGTTTTCCAAAAGTCAAAAATAAATTCTTTAAAATTATACTTCCAAGTATTGTTTTAAGTCGCTTAGGCAAGTTTTGAGCCAAATGCCATATACAGTGAACATGATAAGAATTTTTATAAACTACTTGACATGCCGCATCCATTGCAGGATCCATATCGGTCATTATAACTCGTGGTTTAGTGTTAGTTGCATCTAGAGTTTGTTGCAAAACCCATTCGTAGCTTTCTTGAGTTTCATCACTCAAAAATGCCTATACACCCAGCCGTGATTTGCCATCATTATCAACAAGAATAAATAATGAAAGTGGAAAATTATATTTATTTATTCTTGAAGTATTATCATGTAAAACAACATTATAATATTGAGACTATAGCATAATTTGACTTGATGTCATCCAAAAAATACCAGATAGGCGATTACTGTCTGCATTTATTAAAGGTTGAACAAACATTATAGAATCTTCTTTTTGCTGTTGTAATAAAAATTTTAATAAATGAGATGCATCAGATCCAACGACTCTTTTTTCACGTTTGATTTTTTGGATGGTATTAGATAGGTTCTGTGTAAGAAAAAGTTGATTTGGAAACAAAGGTTGTAACAAATTTCTTATAATATATGCATCACAGTGTCCATATACAACAGCATGCTCAATTTCACTCATTATAGACTCATCAAACTTTCGAAATGCTGTTGCGAATCTTACATTATCAACATTAATAACATGATTATGTTTAAGATCAATAAAAGTTATATGTACAGAGTTGTTTATTTCTGTATGACTTAAGTTAATATGCTACTTGCAGTCTGTTTTTTTAGAACCTCTATGACGCTGCTGTTCTAATGGTTTTGTTTTGTTTGGCTTGTATTTTCACATGTATATGTTCTTTTTTTAACAATACGATTACCTGATATAGTTAATCGAGATCTATAATATTCAACCCTATATCGAGTTACTACAAATCCATTCTGCCATCTATATTCTTTTAAACATTGTTCCGCAAGTAGCCAGAAATCAAACTTTTTTCCAACAAATAGCTCTACAGGTGTATTACTTTCATCAATGTTCTCAAGATTTCTAGAACCTTAAAAAAAAACAAATAAAAAAGCTAAGTATACAGCTTTTTTTTTTTTTTTTTTTAGCACTGGATAATATCTCAAACTAACTTTGACAAGTTCCTACAGGTTCGTATTCAACAAGTTCATCTTTCTAGAGGCTCACTTTCCACAGGCTCATCTCTATCTTCCACTTCTTCACCTTCTGACACAGTTTTTACTAGTTCGTATTCTATAAGTTGGTTTTCATCAGGTCTATTTTCTATAAAGTTATCAATGACAACTTTATCTTCTAACATAGGTTCACTTTCAACTACTATTATGGATCTGTTTTCCCGTCTTCTATAAAAAAAAAGCAAAAACCAATATAATAAAAATGAAAATGATTATCAAACGGCAACATATACAAATAAAGTTTATATTCTTACTTGTCCTGTTGTTCTTCCGGATATGCCTTAAGTCCTCAAGTAATTAAATAACTTTCTCTTTTTATACAACATTTGAAGATCCTTGTTTACTTTTACGTAGAGGTTATTTTAACAACTAAAAAAATAATTGTTTGTTATCCTTTTTTATGTTTGTTTACATTGTTACACGATCGCAAAATTTTTTAATCTCCGATATGATGCGATATTACCGCACCCGTGGTGTATAAATATTTTCTATTTTATATACTATATAACTTATAGCATTTTTTCTTAATCTATTGCTATATTGACGCGGTAGATTTGGTTAACATGTGTTTGGTAGCATGGGACCAGGATCGGATTTATGTAACTTACATGTTGCATTGGGGTGTCCAGTGTACTATGTTGATCAAATATATGTATAGTCCCATATGAACAATTTTGTGTGTAACAATCGCGAAAATCTATAGTAAAATACCAGATTTTTTAACAAATTTATTGAAAAAT